ACATCCATAATATATCCAAAAACGTTTGCGGTTTCTGTCTTTGTTTAAAGTGTACCTTTTTCTCTGGTTTGAATAATGATAACCTTTTCCGTATACAGAGTGTCCATAAAGTTACTCACAGGACAGATTGGAGGTGATAGGAAAAGAGGAAAACAACGCCTGGCTTATTTAGTGAGCTTGGGGAAAATGGATGGCGGAACATGGTTTAAAAGAAATATCAGAAAGACCAAATTTATTAAGGGACAAGTTGTTGTGAAGAGCCATGATCGCTTACGTATGTGATCGTATATAACGTTTTTATGAGTCGGCGGGTCTGTAGCTGGTGTTTGCCAAGCGAAAAGTTCACCCCGAACTGACTATTTTGTAATAAAACAGAAGGCGTTCTTTGTTTAGTGAAGCGAGCGTTGTATCGTTTTTGTACTTCCGTCTCTGACCTTTCTTTTCAAATCTGGAATTAATCTTTGCCTTACGATCGACCAAACAATCTTTGATCTTCACGAATTTAAAGATAAAAAAAAACAACAACAATTATATTACCCTTTCCTTTTTTTTTTTCTTTTTTTAGCTTTTGTATTTTTTTCTTCTTTTATTTTCGCACTTTTTAAACTTCTTTAATTCTTTGATGGTAAATTTCGCCTAGAAATGAGAATGCTGATTTTTTTTTTCCAGGATATTTCCAGAAAAGATTAAAGACTAAACTGGGAGGCTTGTTTTGAAGATAAATGTCTAGGCAAAGAGGTATCAGCCTTTTTTGCCTAATTCACCCAATTTGCCATAAAGTTTAAACAGTGTTTCTCAACCAGTAAGTCCCGTCCTGGATATGACGATAAACTACATCCGCGTCCAGGGTAAGACGATAAACTACATCCACGTCCAGGGTATGACGATAAACTACATCCACGTCCAGGGTATGACGATAAATTACATCCGCGTCCAGGGTAAGACGATAAACTACATCCACGTCCAGGGTAAGACGATAAACTACATCCACGTCCAGGGTATGACGATAAACTACATCCGCGTCCAGATTAAGACGATAAACTACATCCGCGTGCTGGGTAAGACAATAAACTACATCCGCGTCCTGGGGATGACGATAAACTACATCCACGTCCAGGGTAAGACGATAAACTACATCCACGTCCTGGGTAAGACGATAAACTACATCCGCGTCCGGGGTAAGGCAATAAACTACGTCCAACAGCAAGACCTCCGATCAGGAGGCTTTGAAGAGCGTGGAACCAATTCTTATTTGCTGGTGTCCCCAGGTCCACCCTGACCCAGGGTGGTATCACTTGTTAGGGTCCCAGCTATGGCAAATAGTTAACCCCGAAACTGAGGTAAAAAAAAAAAAAACCATTATGAAAGTGTAAAAATAGGTTTTAATGCCAGAAATACTTTGTAAAAAAATTATTACCAGAAATAAATTTTTAAAGAAAAAAAACTATAACCAGCAATACATTTTTGAATAAAATATTTTAACAGCAATACGTTGTTTTAAAAAAAATATTACCAGCTATACAATTTTGAGGAAAAAAATATTAACAGAAATAGATTTTTGACAAAACAAAAATATTACCAGGAAAAAAAAAAGTTGTCGGCATTAAATGACCCATTGAGATGTTGATATGCCGTAAAAGAAAACAAACCAAGCCAAAAATCAACCAGTAAGTCGGGGCACACATCATTTTTAAAATGCTAGAGACAACAAGCTGATGGCTTCCACGTCTAAGTCATATTTTAAAGTGGATGCTAAATTTAAAATTTAAGGACTAATATGTCCTTATTAAAATGCAAATTGGTCCCTAGAGTTTTAGTTATTCAACAAGTTCGCCCTGAAGTAGAGAAGTTTTACAAATTTAATAGCAATCAAAAATACTGAAGGATTTTTCAACTTGAAAACATGTAGAGGATATAATTTTAATTCATAACTATTGGGTTGGTGCATAATTATTGAAGTTAAACAACGTCGAAGCTGGTTAGTACCTAAATGCGCGACGGCTTGGAAATACCGGGTGCTGTAGGCTTGGATGTGCGGGTGGTGTATTGGATAATAGGTCGGAATTATTAGTTCTAATTCAAATTGGGTTCGTGATAGTCACTCACACGGAAATAAATCGAAACGAAATCTTACCGTGGAAATAGACAATGAAAAAGGAATTTATTACGAGAATCCGAAGTCCTGGCTACAACGTAGCAACTTAAACAGAATCTAATAAGAGGAAGACATTTTTCCTCTGTGGCATGAGAATGGAATTTTTTTTATTACTAAAGATGAGACTATCTATCTATCTATCTATCTATCTATCTATCTGTCTGTCACAGCTTTTTAAATCTATCAGTCTGCTCTTTATCTCTCTCTCTTTTTATCTATCTAACTCGATTTTTTTAAATCTCAGTCTATCTATCTATGTATCTATGTTTCTATCTATCTATCTATCTATCTATCTATCTATCTCGGTTTTAAATCTATCTCAATCTGTTCTTCATCTATCTATCTACCCCATTTGCATTCTCTCTCTCTCTCTCTCTCTCTCTCTCTCTCTATATATATATATATATATATATATATATATATATATATAATTAAATTTAATGAAAAAACAGACCACTTTAAGGTACCATTACAATAATTTATTTCACCAAAATCCTTTTAACACTTCCAACAATGAAATGAGAGGAAAAAATGTGATTAGAAATTGATTTGTAATTTAACAGGGGGGTACAGTGTTAGTTACAGAGACAAGATAGAGTATAGGGAGGGGTTAATTTCATATCTCTTACAAAAATTACACTACCCATCAATTTCTAATCCCATTTTTCCTTTCATTTCATTGTTGGAATTGTTACCTGATGATCCGGAGTCCCTTAAAAAGGATTTTGCTGAAATAAATTATTGAAATGGTACCTTAAAGTGGTCTGTTTTTTCATTAGATATTAGCTCTGTATTCACATTGAGCTCTCTGGATTTCATCCTCCTTGGAATTACCCATTCGGTTTACCAAGTTCTTCATAACTTAAATATATATATATATATATATATATATATATATATATATATATATATATATATATATCCCAATTGCATCCTATCTATCTATCTATCTATCTATCTATCTATCTATCTATCTATCTATCTATCTATCTAGTAGCCTGTGTGTCACTCTGTGTAGAACATAATATTTATATATTTACAGACGGAACTTGTCAATTATGAGTGAGCCGTGAATTCGATCCACACTGGGTGTGCATACTTTCGACCGAGAGCCACATTTAGGCTACACTTTGTAAATCAATATATATATATATATATATATATATATATATATATATATATATATGTGTGTGTGTGTGTGTGTGTGCGTGCGTGTGTGTGTGCGCGCGTGTGTATGTGTGTGCGTGTGTGTGTACTCTAATTAAAAATAAACATAAAATACACTCATCCTATATATAATATATAATAGTTACGTTGATGTCAGCTTATTTACTTTCTCTGAGAGAAAAGTAATATTGATTTATTTCGCGCCTCTTGCTGAGACGGTGGGGCGCGGGGAGGCCCCCCACCGATGAAATATCGATTGGCGTAGGCATTGGAGCGATAAATATTTCCAAACAAAATTGATCAAGCGAGAAACGTGTGGAAACCTTTGAGAGATTTGCAGAGCAGAAAAATCATTTTTGCTGGCCTTAAGAACAAAATGAACGCCTTCGGGGTTGTAACAAAGAAAGAAAGAAAGAAAGAAAGAAAGAAAGAAAGAAAGAAAGAAAGCGAAATGAAAGAAAAAAGAAAGAAAAATGAAAGGAAAAACGCAAACATTTTTTTGTTGACTTAAGAACCAAATGAACGATTTTGGGTGCCGTGTCAGAAAGTAAAAAATAAGACAGAGAAGAAAGAAAGGATAAAATAAAGGAAGAAAAAAGGGAAACCGAAAAAAGAAAGACAAATACAACAAATGAAAGAGGGAAAGAAAAAAGAAAGAAAGAACAGAAAGAAAAAGCGAAAGAAAGAAAGGCTGGGATCAAATGGTAAAGAAAAAAAGAAAGAAAGATGGTCGATGGATAAATAAGAAAGAAAGAAAGAAAGAAAGAAAGAAAGAAAGAAAGAAAGAAAGAAAGGCTCGGATCAAATGGTAAAGAAAAGAAGAAAGAAATATGGTTGATGGTTAAATGAGAAAGAAAGAAAGAAAGAAAGAAAGAAAGAAAGAAAGAAAGAAAGGCTAGGATCAGATGGTAAAGAAAAAAAGTAAGAAATATGGTTGATGGTTAAATGAGAAAGAAAGAAAGAAAGAAAGAAAGAAAGAAAGAAAGGCTGGGATCAAATGGTAAAGAAAAAAATAAAAAATATGGTCGATGGTTAAATGAGGAAAAAAGTAAGAAATATGGTTGATGGTTAAATGAGAAAGAAAGAAAGAAAGAAAGAAAGAAAGAAAGAAAGAAAAGCTGGGATCAAATAGTAAAGAAAAAAAGAAAGAAATATGGTCGATGGTTAAATGAGAAAGAAAGAAAGAAAGAAAGAAAGAAAGAAAGAAAGAAAGAAAGAAAGGCTGGGATCAAATGGTAAAGAACAAAAAATATGTTCGATTATTAAATGAGAAAGAAAGTAAGAAAGAATAAAAGAAAAAAGAAAGAAAGAAAATTAGAAATAAAGAATAAGACAGCTGAAAGAAAGAAACTTGGAAATAAAGAAAGAAGGAAAATAGGAAAGGAAGATAAAATGAAGAAAAAACACAACTGAAATAAATAAATAAAGTAAAAAGGAATGAAAAAAGAAAGAAAAATGTAATTAATTAAAGAGAAGGAAAAAAGGATAGAAATAAAAATGGAATAATGAAAAACCAACCGAAAGAAAGATAAATGGAATGAAAAAAAGAAAGAAAAACGAAAGAAAGAAAATCATATTTGCTGTCTTAAAAAAATAACGATTTCAGGGTTTTGTCGAGAGGAAGAAGGATGAAAACAAAAAGTATGATAGAAAGTAAAGAGGAAATAAAATAAGAAAAATAGAATGAATGAAAAAAGGAAGAAAAAACTTGAATGAAATCATTGTGTGTTTCGAAGTTTTGACAAGGAAAGAAAAAAAAAGAAAAATAGAATACAGGAAAAAAAGAAATAAAATAAGGAAGAAAGAATAAATGAAAAATAAAAAAATGGACGAAAGAAAAAGAATAATTTATGTTGCCTTAAGAAAAAATGAAAAAAGTTGGAGGCTGCATCAAAGAAAGAAAGAAAGAAAAGAAAGGAAGAAAGAAAGAAAGAAAAGAAAACAACTATAGAAATTTTTTTAAAGAAAACAACATTTTTGTTGATATTAGAAACATCGTGGTAATGGTTGTGAGAAAGAAATATCGACAGACAGACAGACAAAAAGAAAAAAAGAAAGAATGAATGAATGAAAGACATGGAAAAACTCAAAAGTGAAAGGAAACTAGAAAGAAAGGAAGATGAAACGGAAAATGGAAAGAAAGAAAAAATGAACGAAAACGATGAAGCAGTAAAGCAGAAAAGGGAATATTGAAAGAAAGAAAGAAAGAAAGAAAGAAAGAAAGAAAGAAAGAAAGAAAGGAAGAAAGAAAGAAGGAAAGAAAGGGATAAAAATAGAATGGAAAAAAGAAAGAAAGAAAAAGAAAGAAGGAAAGAAAGGGATAAAAATAGAATGGAAAAAAAGAAAGAAAGAAAAAGAAAGAAGGAAAAAGAAAATGAGAAATAAATAAAGAAGAAAAAAGAAAGAAATAAAAAACAAAATAATGGTAATTATTGCGAGAAAGAAAAACAGACAGAAAGAAAGAAAGTGAGAACGATAGAAGGAAAGAAAAAAGAGAGAAAAATGAAGGAAATAAAAAAAGAAGAATAAAGAAAGAAATTAAAAAAAACAAAATAACATTTGTTGATAGTAGAAACAACGTGGTAATGGTTACTAGAAAGAAAGAAAGAAAGAAAGAAAGAAGGAAAGACAGAGTGAGAAATAGAATGGAAGAAAGAAAGAAAAAAGAAATTTAAAGAAAGAAAGAAGAAAATAAAACAAGAAAGAAAAGAAGAATAAAGGAAGAAATGACAAAACTATAATTTTTGTTGATATTAGAAACAACGTGGTAATAATTCTTAGAAAGAAAGAAAAGAAGAAAGAAAGAAAGAAAGAAAGAATGAACGAGAGAGAGAGAGAGAGAGAGAGAGAATAGAAAGGAAGAAAGAAAAAAAGAAAGAAAAAGAAAGAATGAAACGAGAAAGAAAGGAAGAATAAAGGTAGAAATGAAGAAAGAAAATTTCTTGACATTAGAAACAATGTGGTAATGGCTGCTAAAAAGAAAGACAGAAATGAGAAAGAAAGAAAGAAAGAAAGAAAGAAAGAAAGAAAGAAAGAAAGACAGAGAAAAGGAAGAAAGAAGAAAGAAAGAACGACATAAACTGGGAAATAAAGAAAGAAACGAAGAATAAAGGAAGAAAGAAAACAAAATAATGTTTGGTATTTTAAATAAACGAGTTCGGAGTTGTGGTAAATAAAGAATTTCTCCGCTATTCGCTTTATTTTTAAGAATGCTGGCGAGTATTCAACTCCATCGCAAAATTTGCCGCATCTGTTATTAGCAAACACTTTGAGTCCATTATCAACATGGAGGCAGTTGATCACCTCACCAGCAACAACCTCCAATATGAGTTCCGCACCTCCAGATCCAATTGTTAATGTTTTCCCTGCAATCGCCACTGAATTAGTAAAACATTTGGTGATCGATTCATTCCCTGGAGTGATTGTCTCAAATATCATAAAGGCTTTTGACAAACCAACGCAAATGGAGTTGACTACACAACCTGTGGCATCTCTGAAAGAGTCAACACAATCATCAACTGCCTGAGCTCAAGACGAAACAGGGAAGTCGTTTTGCAATGACCACTCTTCTGAAGCCCAGGAGATCGACGCAGGCATACCGCTTTGGTCCTAATTCCTGCCACTTTTATGAACGATTTCCCTGGGAGTATTCTCAGATCAAGAGTAAATATCTATGCAGGAGATATTACGATTTATGGACGCCAGTCAAAAAAATAAAGAATAAATAAATAAAAATAAATAAATAAATAAAAATAAATAAATAAATAAATAAAAAAGATGACCGGGACCTTCCAACTGAACTCTCCCCAGATAGGAGGAATGTAAATTCCAATAACTGAAAACCGAAGCTAGTAATCATTTTAGTATATTATTAAACAGGATAACATACACTGAACTGACATCTCGGCTTCATTCACTTTCTCACAGACGTGATGTGGCTTCCCTCTGTCTTTTCTACAATTATTTTTTTTAAGCATTTCACCCCAAGCAAGGCGGGAAGCCACTAGGACGCAAGGGGTTACAGAAAATTTAGAGCAAGATCAGATAGGAGTGATAGAAGAAAGGATGAGGGTAGTGGATAGATCAAGGCAACTGGAGATGTCGATTGACATTACACTTGAATAGCTGGAGATTATAGCTCACAGGGAAACAGGAATAGTGAAGGGGGTTCCACAGGCGAGAGGTGCGAGACATGAAGCTATTGGAGTAGAAGAGACGGCTACATTTAGGAGTTTTGACAGTGAAAGGGTGAGAGCGTGATGCCAGCCTCGTAGTACGCTTGAACTCATGACGTCTGGGAACCAGCGAATGCAGCTCCTCGGAGCAATTTCCATGAAAGTATTTGTAGAACAGGCAGAGGGAGGCGACGGCGCGTCTGTGAGAAAGTGACTGTAGACGAGACGCCAGAGCGGGGCCAACTACATTGCATATCCGCCTCTGGAGCCTAACAAGAACCCCGAGGCAAACAGAAGGGGCCCCAGGCCATATATGGCAGCAATACTCCATGCATGGGCGAATTGTTGATTTGTAGATCTGGAGGATCGACTCCGGGGAGAAAAACTTCCTGGCAGCTGCTGTAACAAGCTTTTTTTCCCCCTGGTGCCCCGACTGCATGGATTTATGCGTGTTACTAGATTCATATATAGGTCCCATATATATATATATATATATATATATATATATATATATATATATACATATATACATATATATATATGCATATATATATATATATATATATATATAAATATATATATATATATATATATATATATATATACACATATATATATATATATGTGTGTGTGTGTGTGAACTCGCGTGTGTGTTTATATATAATGTAGGTTTATATACCATACTATTAATTATATATATATATATATATATATATATATATATATATATATATATATATATATATATATATATATATATATATATATATATAAAATAAAATATATATATAATACAGATCATATCAAAATTATAATATATATAATAGAGATTATATATATATTGTTTTAGACATTATGTGTATCATAAATAGTATATATCTAATAGAATATTATTATTATAAATATAAATATAAGTGGAGTAATAGATAGCGGCTTGGATTGAGGAATCGGAGAGCCGAGTTCGAATCCATTACATTCACTTACGTGCTATTAACCTTGGGAAAGGTATGAATCCTCTTCTTCTCCCTCCAGCTCTGGGTAAAATAGCAGGACAGACTGGGTTCTATAGCCTTGGATGGCAACTGGTCTAGGAGAAGGACAACTCTGAATTCAAAACCTGCGGAGGGTCGTTTGGGGACCTTGTGGCATTCGGTGCACCAGGTCTCTGTATTCGTCCCTTCAAAAAGTGTGGATGGTCCTGCACGAGGCCTTCACCACTATAATCAAATCTCATGTGCCGGTGTCGGGCTGTCGGTTTCCTGAAACTGATCTGCTTGACCTCATACGTCGAATCCCGACGGTGGAGTCGATTATATATATATATATATATATATATATATATATATATATATATATATAAAAGAACATTAAATTCAACACTTAGAGGCATCAGGCCACCGATTGCGTCTAGCATGAAAGAGACTGTCGCCTCTAAGTGTTGACTTCAATGTTCACTTTTATATTTACACACGCTCTATCTCTGATATTGAGCACTTTATCCCATAAATATAGTACATCTTTAGATTATATTTCTTTATATATATAAATATATATATATATAATTTATTTTCGTTTATCGGGCTGAATATTCAAGAAATCTATTTGAAGCTGCTTTCCTCTCAGGGAAACTCTCAGATCTGACGTGCTTTGACCTCTCAGCTACAGAGTGCTTAGATGACCAAGCAAAGTTGAATAGTGCATACAGGCTCATATTTTTCTCTAGATGTGATTTATTGAATATTCAGGCCGGTAGACGAAAATAAGTAAATATACTGTTTAATAACTAAACAGAGCGTCTACTCAAACATGAGTATCCACTAATTATAACGTTTAAGTTTTATATATATATATATATATATATATATATATATAAAAATGCCAATGTCAGTGTGCCGCACTTTCAATTAGAGAGACACCGCTCTCTAACTTTCAATAGCTCATGTTACAGAAATTTGGGATTCCCAAATTTTTATTACAGCGATTGTTTTCAGCAATTTTATTGATTTTTTTTTTTTGCGACGAATTTTTTGCTACGATAATTTTTACAACTTGGAAATAAATTTGAGAATATTCGAAATTAATTGCGAAATCCATTTTCAAAGTCCATTCAAGGACCATCAAGAGAACGGTGAATAAGTTTAAAAAAAGAGGGAACAGTTGAGAGGAAAACTGGATCAGGAGGTCACAACAGTAAGAGGGATCATCATTTCAACTTAGAGCTAAAGAGATCAATTAGAAAAGATCCAACTTAATCCATAAGACATTTGGCACGTGAGAGACGAGTTTCAGCTATGACAGTCCAAAGTGCAGTGAAAAAAGACTTTTGAAAATGAAATCGTACGTGAAATTTATGATGCACTTTGTTACTCCGGAACAGAAAGGTAGAAGGTTAGAGAGGGCGAAGATCATCTTGAATATGTTGGAAAATAATCATGGAACAATATATATATATATATATATATATATATATATATATATATATATATATATATGAACTTTATTTCAATCCTTCATGAGCTTCAGTTCCTTAGCTACAATTAATTAATGATGAACATGTCATTTTCGCCTGTAATCGTTTTCATCACGATTCTTCTTGCAAGCTTGGAGAGTAATTATGCATTCTTATTACTTAAAGCAGAGTCCAGTGGTGTTATAAAAAAAACCGGAGAATTCCAGTAAGATATATTTAATCATTTCTAAGATACAAAGGTTCAGAGCTTAATCTAACATTTTGACAATTTTGCTGTTACACGATTTGGACAATTTTGAAATATAGACAGATTTACAACGATCACACTTGCAATCATTTTTTTCTTTTCAATTAAGGATAATCTCAGACGAGATGGAAAGTACTTGCGTAAGAAAAAATAGGGTGACTTCCTTGATGAATCTTAACATCATGAAACTGATTAGACACCTGGAAAGAATCAATATAAAAATAAATAGACATAAGATGTGGATATTATTTAATGAAACATTTTTGAATGAAGATGTGCTACATATATATATATATATATATATATATATATATATAATATAAAGAAAAAACAGACCGCTTTAAGGCTCCAGTAATAATTTATTTTACCAGAGATTTTATTTTTCTATGAATCTTCAGACTTCACTTTCTAGGGTGAAAAAATGAATTTACACTTTTGAAGAGCAGAATTAAGCTTATATAAGGTGACATAGAGAGTGGTGAAGAATAGTGTGAGAGACATGGTTGAATTTAGAGAGGGTGGGAGAGTTTTGAAATTTATTTTTATTACAGTACTTAATACAATATTCTTATTTTTATTAGAAGATTGAATACAATACTTAATACTTAATACTGAAACTAAACTCAACCAAAATAAAATCTCTAGCGAAATAAATTATAACTAATGGAGCCTTAAAGTGGTCTGTTTTTTCTTTAAATTAAATTATTCACTCTGACTTAACACTGAGCTCTCCGGATTTCATCCTCCTTGGGATTATCCATACGGATTACAGATTTTCGTTACTATATATATATGTATTCTGCCGGCTGAAGTAATTGCATAATTCTCTCTATATATTCCAAACATCATTTAAGCCAGCTGGAAATGAAATATTTCTCTCACCTAAGACGAACGAAGACAAGTTCACCGATTTATTTAGCCGGTGTCATTCTCTTCTCAACAAGAACGCCATATTGAATTCCTTAAACCTAACAAGACGTTATCGGCCTCTCTTCAGATTACCGTCAATCGGGCTCAAGTCACTGACCAGAGAGCCGGTCGGTTGATGAATGGAGGTCTATTCTGGCAGCGAATCGTGAAGGGCAGTGAGACGAGGAGAAATCTTGCGAGGGGATGTCTGGCATTGTTGCAAGTAATAAAGATTTCGCAGCCTTTTGCTGTTTGGTTCGACTCTGAGCGGCAGGTTTTCTTTAAGAGGATTCACGAAACAATGATTAAGCTTCATAATGGATTTATTCTTGGAAGCGCGCCAAACCTGTCGGATCGTGAGAGAAAAGCGCAAATCAGTGGTACCCTTGGGAGACGATGGTAGGAAGATGGTGGCTGGGGTATATTTTCGTATATTTTCGCTGAAGGACACGGAGAGAAAACCGAGGGAATAGTGACGGAGAAAAGAACAGCCTCGGGACCATAGTAAAAGGGGAATGAGAAGAAGAGGAAAAAAAGGATTGGAGAAAGAAAGGAAAGTGAGAGTTAGAAGTTAAAGAAAGATAAAAAGTGTCTTTGTATGTGTGAGAGTGGGGAAGAGCGAGAGGAGAGAGAGAATAAAGAGAAAAGCTGGGCGAAATGAGAGAGAACAGGCAGGGTAAATGGGCAGGGCAGACTGGCTTCTATAGCCTTGGGTGGCAACCGGTCTATGACAAAGACAACTCTGAATTCAAAACCTGGGTAAATAGCGAGGCAGACTGGGCACTTCAGCCTTGTTTGGCACCCAGTGCAGGAGACGAAAAATCTGAATCCCCAAAAACGGAAGTAGCCCTGGCGAAGTACGTAGTATACAGCTAATGAAACGACCATTTACAATGATTCTATGATCCCGACTCCAGTCGTGTGTGTGTGTTAGGTAGTGGGGGGGTAGTCGACAAAAAACAAAATAGAAAAAGTAAGGGAGGGAGAAAAGAAGAAGGGAAAAAAGTATAGAAGAAATAAAGGAAGAACAGAAAGCTGTAAACAGATAAAGGCGACTAGGTATATATATATATATATATATATATATATATATATATATATATATATATATATATATATATATATATGCAGAAAAAATAGGAAAAAGAATACGTCCGGTAAATAATCCTGAGTTCCTTAGTATTTTTGTTTTTATTTTTAAGAAGACACTGCTCCATACATAAGTAGAGCTTATATCATAATTATAATATTTTCGCATGAAGAAGAAATGGGACCCAACACCTTGATTCAACTTAATTTTAATAATTATATTGATGGTTTCGGCTCTCGATTTTGAAACATGAGAACTCTTATGTAGCAAAGGAATCATATTTTCAAAAACATATAATTATATTATATATATATATATATATATATATATATATATATATATATATATATATATAAAAGAAAAGATATATTTATAAAAGAAAAGATTTTTTAAAAATGAAAATACATTTGCAAGTTTTATTTTAGAAAAAAAAAGAGTTTTATCTAAATGTATCAAAACACTTTCATGTGTGCTCTATTGATTGCCAGGAACAGATCTAGATGACTCTCAATTTCTGTTTCTGTATGACGCTTTCTGTTTCCATAAGCTTCCTGTGCACGGGAATTATCTCTATCTCTATATCCTTGCTTGAATTGGCTTCTAATCCTCTGGACTGTGTCGTGACTCGTGGGGGGCTCACAGTCCTATGGGTAAAAGAGAAACTTGGATGAGTTCCACCACGGAATATGTGATCGAGCGGCGCTATATCGAGTCTAATTCTTTACCGCTTCGTCACCGAGGCCCTTTGGAACAGTTGGTATGACGTCTGCCAGATAACGTAACTGTTCGGGTTTCAATTCTCGGTAGTGGAATCGCACTGCTGATGAGTCCCAGGTATAGGACGAAACGGCCGTCTAGCGCTTTCTGCATTCTGATGAGGTTTCTTCTAGACTCGATGAATTACTTGTGTGTCTAATTAAATAAATGACAGACATTATGTCTGCTTATTTTTAATAAAATCCTTTCATACTCACGGATAACCTTCCGTGTATTGCAATTAAATGATGTGAGAAATGTGCTATAATTGTGAAAATCGTTTTTATTTTCCATTTACTTGCACCCTTGAACAACAACCAGTTTTTTTTTATTACGTACTCCGATGAAGATGATCTCGGTAGAAGATCGAAAGTACTTAGGAAATGGAAAATAAAAACGATTTTTATAGTTATAGGGCATTTCTCACATCAATTAATTGCAATACACGGAATGTTATTCGTGGGTATGAACGGATTATGTTTAAAAAAAGACATTTTTTTATTTATTCATCAAATTTCATTAACCGGCCTATTTCATACTTGACGCGCAATCTTCAGGCCAGGATATTGACCACTTTTACTCTTTAAAATAGCATATCTTAAAACTATATTTTTATCACACACACACACACATACACACACACATATATATATATATATATATATATATATATATAACATCCAGCAATGACCCCTAAAAATAAACAAAATTATTTGAGATTAGCAACCTGGCTACTTATACGGTAATGTTAAAATACACAAACCGGGATACCCATTACGACCTATTCTTTCTCAGATTCCAACATGCATATACCAACTATGAAAATTTCTCAATGATATTATTATCCCACATCTCCCTGCTAACTATAGCATTAAATCTACGCATGAATTCTTCCGAATACTTAAAAGCACAAAAGTCAAAACAAACCATGGCATTCTTGCGTCACTTGATGTAGAGAATTTATTTACTAATGTTCCCGTCTCTGAAACTATTGATATTATCATTAATTCGGTGTTTAAAAATAATTTAATTCCACCTCCATCAATCCAACCCAATATTTTAAGAAAACTAATGCTCGCTTGCATCACTAGAGTTTCTCTTAATACCCAGAAAAGTACTGTTTATATGGCCTATGTTGAAAACAAGGTTTTTAATAAACTTATTAAACCTAAAATATATGTTCGTTATGTAGACGATATATTTATTTTAGCGGAAAACAAGAAAGAAATAGAAAATCTGATAAAACATACATACAACAAACTATTTCTTATTTAACAGTTAAAATATTTAATCCTTGAAAATGGCTAAATGTATAGCCGAAAGCACTCGGATAAAAAGAACATTTGGACAGTTTTTATATAATTTATCATCCGAAAAAAAAATTATTAGATTGCATGTGTGACGGACGTAGATAGCCCAAACATGCATACACGCATATATTAAGGTTAATTTCCGCCTGACAACAGAAGAGGTCACGTGGAAGTCTTGAGATATTTTGGGAAACAAGTCAAGAGGTTGACTGACCCAATTACCCGTAGCGACAGATGTCTAGACAGAAGCCAGACAGGGGACTGATGTAAGCTGGAATTCGCGCGAAAACGTAGGACACGTGAGAGTTAGAAAAATTACTTGGGAGTTAGTTGCTGTCTTGTCTTTGAAGGAGCAAGACTCCAAATCGAAGCGATGATAACTTATGAACGGAAAGATGAGACTCATTAGATAATGATGGAACTTGTCCGATTCATCGCAGGCAACTCCGGACAAGAAATATAAGAACATGTATTTCTGTTCGATAACCACAAATTGAAGACGATAACCTGTGTTATTTATCACAGAAGATGCAAAGGAATTTGTACGCTGAGAATACAAAGTGCGTTTGAAGAAAAGAGAAAATCAGCGAGGAAGAAAGTATATATCTCTGTTATAAGCTGAATTGTGTAAAGAAAAAAGAAAGGAGAAAACCAGAGAGAAGAAGAAAGTGTATATACCTGTTGCAGTTGAATCGTGTTTGAAACTGAACTGTATACAGAAGAAGAAAGAAGGAAAGAAAAAAAGGGAAAACCCGAAGAGAGGAAGAAAGTGTATATCTCTGTTACAGCCGGACAGTGTGTGAAATCGTGTTTGTGTCAAAGAAGAAAAACAAAGGGAAAAGAAATGAGGAAACGTGAAAGAGAAAAGAAAGGACAATGATAAAAAAGAGAACTGATTATAAAGATAAGTAATTATATATTTTGGACCCGTGTCATTTACGCTGACGTGCCTTAACCGACTCGGCCACAAAGGAGCGCTCCGTAGGCAAGGTCGAATTTACTGCTTATAAACTTCAATCTTCCATGAATCTCGTACATTCATAACTGCTCTGGCGTATCAAATGTAAACAAATGACGTCATATATTAAGAAATAGACAAAGTCTGACAATTTATTTATTAAAGACATTTTTATGTTTAACGTTCTTTATTATAGATACAAGTATTTAAGTAAATGCTCTCTTTATAATAAACAGTATTAAATAACATTTACCGACCTGAATGTCCGAGAAATTTTCATAGAAAATATTCCGTATAGGATGCAGGTTCGAATCCTGTCAAAGGACGAATATTTTCTATGAAAATTTCTCGGACATTCAGGCCGGTAAATGTTATTTAATACTGTTTATTATAAACAGAGCATTTACTTAAATACTTGTATCTATAAAAAGAAAGTTAAACATAAAAATGTCTTTAATATATATATATATATATATATATCCTTGAAAATAGCTAAATGTATAGCCGAAAGCGCTCGGATAAAAAGAATATTCGTACAGTTTTTTATATAATTTAAAAAGAAAAATTTACTTTTAATTTGAAAAGAAAGAAATTATTAGATCGCATGAGAAATTGTATAAAAAATAAATAAAAGCACCTTGTCTGTCGTATTCAATGAAATGTGCACAAAAGAAGGATTGCTGCCTAAATACACAAATATATATATATATATATATATATATATAGCGTAAGTCAAAAGGCAGTTTTTACGTGGTATAATGGTTAAACAACTTGTCTTGCAGGAAGCATTACGTGTAAGTTCGATCCACACTGGGCGCTACCTACTTCCGGTATTGTGTCACATCTAAGCTATGCTTAGTAAATCACGAGATCGTGAGTGGAAAGTAGCGTTAAGATTGGGGAAACTGAGGATATTAATGTTTGTCTTCATTTCTTTAGTTTTTGCTACATTTTTCCATTTTTTTTTTTAAGTACTCAATACAGAGTAGAGCGAATAATATTTACTTAAAAATTATAACCAAAGCATGTTATAACATCACTACAAAAATAACCATTTTGTTTCAACACTTCTGGTGTCTTGTCAAGTGATTGAGAATATCACCCCTCCCCGCAGTTGTGGTAGGGGTTGATTTTGGACTCTTTAAAAAAAAATTATTTTACAATCAACACCATCACATGACAAACATTGAAGAAAGAAAGAAAGAAAGAATGAAAGAAAGAAAGAAAGAAAGAAAGAAGGGAAGATAAAAATGTTTGTTTATATTTCTGAGATGAGGTATTATGTACACTATTTATATTATTCGGACTATTGTCCTCATCTTTGTTGCCATATTTCTCCGATCCTTCAGTATCTGTCTATATTTCTGAGATGAGGTATTATGTACACTATTTACATTATTCCGACTATTGTCCTCATCTTTGTTGCCATATTTATCCGATCCTTCAGTATCTGTCTATATTTCTGAGATGAGGTATTATGTACACTATTTACATTATTCCGACTATTGTCCTCATCTCTGTTGCCATATTTCTCCGATCCTTCAGTATCTGTCTATAATTCAGAGATGAGGTATTATGTACACTATTTACATTATTCCGACTATTGTCCTCATCTTTGTTGCCATATTTATCCGATCCTTCAGTATCTGTCTATATTTCTGAGATGAGGTATTATGTACACTATTTACATTATTCCGACTATTGTCCTCATCTTTGTTGCCATATTTATCCGATCCTTCAGTATCTGTCTATATTTCTGAGATGAGGTATTATGTACACTATTTACATTATTTGGACTATTGTCCTCATCTTTGTTGCCATATTTATTCGATCCTTCAGTATCTGTCTATATTTCTGAGATGAGGTATTATGTACACTATTTACATTATTCAGACTATTGTCCTCATCTTTGTCGCCATATTACAACGTTTCGGCCGTTGTACGTTCCAGGCTTGTTCAGGTGGAACTGAATCCTTTTCTTTTTTTGCTCACTGGAGTAGACTATTCTATTTCCACGTGCCATGTCAGTTGTCAGTTATCTCCTGTTAATTTCCCTCTGGAAGTTCTCCACTGCCTTAACCGTGTATTGAAATCACATTCCTTGTTTCCTATCATTGGATCTAACTAACTGTCCTCAAGGCTGTGGATGACTTGGAGAGGGGAATTAACAGGAGATAACTGATAACTGACATCCATTAAACATGGCACATGGAACTAGAACAGTCTACCCCAGTAAGCGAAATAAAAGGTTCAGTTCGACATTCTAACGACCTGAGGAAGGCCGGAACTTACAACGGCCGAAACCTTGTAATAAATATGACGACAAAGATGAGGACAATAGTCCGAATAATGTAAATAATGAAGATAGAAGTGTTTAAAATTTTCTGATAATACCTCATAAATAATGGACTATTTCGTTTTGATCGTGTGGAAAAACAGAAAAGACATATCAGAAACGCTACTTGGTTTCAATAAGAAAAAGAAAGGAGAAAAGAAACTAGGGAAGATAGAAGTGTTTAACGTCTCCTGTTAATCCGGCATAAATGATAATGAACTGTTCTGGCAACGTATGTGTGTGTGTGTGTGTGTGTGTGTGTGTGTGTGTGTGTGTGTGTGTGTGTGTTAATTTAATCGCAGAAGTTCACTTTAGGTAAGAAAAGCCACCAAATGAGTTTTAAAAGATAACATTGGCGGTTTTGGTGTAGCTATTCGGACAAGAAAAAGAGTTCAAAGCGACTTGCATCTGTGAGCCGTGAGACCAATTCCATATTTTTTTGATGCAAGCGAATAAGTGTGTTTTCTCTCCTGTTTCAATTGAACATCGCATTTTGGGAGTCTGTAATCAAGTTTATATGGCAGGGAGTATAAAATCTCTCTCCATCTCTCTCTTTATCTATCTATTTATCTATCTATCTATCTATCTATCTATCTATCTATCTATCTATCTATCTAACGAGGTCTATTTCGAATCTATCTATCTATCATTGTTTTGAAACTATCTATCTATCTATTACATTATGTTTTGAAACTATCTATCTAGTTTATTATGTTTCGAATCTATATATCTATCTATCTATCTCCATTTGCTTCTTATCTATCTATCTATCTATCTATCTATCTCTCTCTCTCTCTCTATATATATATATATATATATATTAGTCTGTTTCGAATCTATCTATCTATCTATCTATCTATCTATCTATCTATCTATCTATTCTCTCTCTCTCCTCACTTTCTATATATATATATATATATATATATATATATATATATATTAGTCTGTTTCGAATGTATCTGTCTATCTAGGTCTATTTCGTATCTATCTATCTCTCTCAGCTCTCTCTCTCTCTCTCTCTCTATATATATATATATATATATATATATATATATATATAAAGTAGGATGTGTGTGTGTGTTTTGTGTAACGAATGCACGGCCACCAATTTTCGACGGATTTGCACCAAAATTTACATGCACATGCTTCAAGTTAGCGGGGAAGGCCAAGACCGACTTTGCATTTCCCAACTCCCATCGATAGTGGAAATAATCGATTTTTTCTTGCTTCTCCGGCAGTTTTCATGTAGTTTGCGGCTATTTTGTACTGGCCAGAGTGAGAGCCTATAGCTGGCTGCCATGAATAGACAGGAAGATTCTATTGGCCAGCGTGAGAGCCAACAGCTGACTGATGCAAATGTTAACTAGCATACTAGTATGCAAAAAAAATCGATAGCTGCATTCGTCACAAGTGGGAAAACTTTAAATCTGCATGGCACTTTACTCCAATTGGCTCGTTCGCTTGCTTAAACTCAACGTTGATTCTGATTCTGCAGAACTGGGTTGGGTGTGAAAAAGTATTTGTTGTTAACATTCTTTTTTCATTCGGTTTTTCCAGTTACGAGTCCTTTTTTAAAGCTGATCGTTTTGTGTTCATTTTGTTTAGTTCTTTTTCCGTAACAGATTTAATGTTTAGTATAAAACTTAGAAAAAATTCGCAGTGTGAGATAGGCAAGAAGTAAGCCATGTAGTAACAACAGCACGGCAAAGGGAACTCCTTTAAAGGCAAGGAAGGGCAAAAATATTTTAAGTCAATTGATAGCGATTGCTGTATGAGTCGTACGATTTTTGAATAAAGCACGGGCAACGCTGAGCCATATGCTGTATATATATATATATATATATATATATATATATATATATATATATATATATATTGCCAAATCTGTATTGACGATTTCTCAAGTAGAAATAAATCGGGAGAAAGGCTTCATGCCAAACAATGTGGGCTCTCTAAGTTGTTTCCTGCATCAAAAGATATTTTCCACTTTATAACTTTTCTCGTCTCTGCGAATTTTATGAAGGCGGCAATTTTATGCAAATAAGCCAAGTTAGCAACATTCACTCATAAAGACGTGGACATCTGTTCATAAACAGAAAATTCAAATTGCAGTAGTGTAACCAAAGCATAAGTTTTCCCTTCGACTTTGATAAAGATCATTTGCTGAAAGAGAGAGAGTGGGTGGGGGGAGAAGAGGAATAGAAAAGAAGCTGAATTGATAGTACCTTCGCTTCTGGATATCCTGGAACTAAGTCAATGATCATGCGGTCGAAACTTATGGTAATCGGAAGTTAGTTGTGTGTGTTGCGTTTAGAAACCTTCCGTGGTTAGAATTTTTACCGACATGTTTCATATTACCAATTCTATGAGCCTGTTTCGAATCTATCTATCTATCTTTCTATCTATCTATCTATCCCAGTATATTCATATCTATCTATCTATCTATCTTTCATTATGTTCCAAAAGTATCTATCTACCTAATTATGTTTCGAAACTATCTATTTCATTATGTTTCGAATCTATCAATCTATCTATCTATCTATCTATCTATCTATCTATCTATCTATTTCATTATGTTTCAAATCCATCTATCTATCTATCTCTCTCTCTCTCTATATATATATATATATATATATATATATATATATATATCGAACTATTTCATTATGTTTCGAATCTATCTCTATCTATCTATCTATCTATCTATCTATCTATCTATATATATATATATATATATATATATATATCGAACTATTTCATTATGTTTCGAATCTATCCTTCTATCTATCTCTATTTCATTATGTTTGAAACTATCTATCACATTATGTCTCGAATGTATCTATCTATTTCATTATGTTTCGAATCTATCTATCTATCTATCTATCTATCTATCTATCTATGTCTGGTACACAGCTTAGAAAACTGAAAAAGCGCTTCGGGAAAATTGGAATTGAGGCCAAGATTGTAGAGCTCCAGAAATCCAGCATCATTTACTCTACGAGGATTCTCCAAAAAGTGCTTGAATTGTGCGGAATCTTTTTGGCACCATGTCTCAAGAACGGAATATCCATTGATGATGTCATTGTGTGACATCGACGTAATAATAAATGATTTTTGTCCCTAAAGATTTTATATCTTTAGGATATTACTTTACCCAAAGTTTACGATAATGAACGAGTAAGGGATTATAGTGAACATAAATCTATAATAATCTATAATAATAGTATTATTGTAATTGTATCTGTTCCCCTCTTTGTTATTTCGTCCGACTGTCATAAATAATACACCATACCGTTTTGATCGCGTGGAAAGCAGGGAAAAACACCATTTAGTTTCAGTATCTGTCTATATTTATGAGATGAAGTATTATGTACACTATTTACATTATTCGGACTATTGTCCTCATCTTTGTTGCCCTATTTATCCGATCCTTAAGTATCTGTCTATATTTCTGTGATGAGGTATTATGTACACTATTTACATTATTCCGACTATTGTCCTCATCTTTGTTGCCATATTTATCCACTCCTTCAGTATCTGTCTATATTTCTCAGATGAGGTATTATGGACACTATTTACATTATTCGGACTATTGTCCTCATCTTTGTTGTCATATTTATCCGATCCATCAGTATCTGTCTATATTTCTGAGATGAGGTATTATGTACACTATTGACATTATTCGGACTATTGTCCTCATCTTTGTTGCCATATTTATCCGATCCTTCAGTATCTGTCTATATTTCTGTGATGAGGTATTATGTACACTATTTACATTATTCCGACTATTGTCCTCATCTTTGTTGCCATATTTATCCGATCCTTCAGTATCTGTCTATATTTCTTAGATGAGGTATTATGTACACTATTTACATTATTCGGACTATTGTCCTCATCTTTGTCGCCGTATGTTTGTCGCCATCTGGAGTGCCAGCGAAAAGAGATAATAACAACGTAAATTGCAATATGAGCTCTGGTAAAAACGTGATATGATAACAGCAAAAATTGCAATATGAGCCCTGTTAAAATGGTTGCTGAAGACATTAAGTTTATAATACCTAGAAATACATAATTTGATGTCCTCCAGGACGCATGGCACAGTGGATAAAGTCATTTGTTAGATCCCGTGACAGGAACCAAAGAGTGTGAGTTAAGGTTAATACCAGGTTAAGGCAGAGATAACATTAAATATTTCAGTTCGACCTAACGTTGTAATAAATATGGCGAATAATGTAAATAGTGTATATAATGCCTCATATGGACAGATACGAAGACTGTAAATAGTGTACCATCTGCACAGCACACACATTAAAAAGTGTGTCATCTTAGTCTATTTATTTATTTTTGGTCTTATTAAAATGATCAGTGAAAAATGTCGAGAAGCCATTTCTGATCATAGATCTCTTGTTGGGACCCGGAAGGAAATGTGTATACAACAGAAATCAAAGGAAATAATAATAATAATAATAATAATAATAATAATAATAATAATAATGATGACTGGTATGAACCCCCCCCCCCCAGAGCGGGTTACGGAGATAGGACCTGTTACAATTCTATGGGACTACAAAATACACACTGACAGAACAATCAAAGCCAACCACCCAGACATTGTTATTAAAGACCACAAACAAAAACGGTGCCTCCTTATTGATATGGCAGTCCCTGCTAACTGCAATGTATCTTTGAAGATATTCAAAAAGCTGTCAAAATACAAGGACCTTGAAATCGAAATCTCAAAAATGTGACACACGGGAACATCAACAATTCCCGTTGTAGTTGGAGCCCTAGGAATGGTTGGAAAAGATTCCAGTAGGCTAATTGAAGGGATTCCTGGAAGCCCATGCCTTAAAGAAATACAAACATTTGTTTTCACGAGTACAGCCCACACCTTACGAAAAGCTTTGTCCATGTAATTTTTTTTTCCAGTGGAAAATGTCATGGTGCTATTTCAAACCTGAGGTCCCTAAGCGGGACCCAGAAAGAAATGTGTATACATCAGAAATCAAAGGAAATAATAATAATAATAATAATAATAATAATGACAATAATAACAATAATAATAATGATAATAATTATTGAGACATTGTCCAGATTGTCCACATACAATGGACCTGAAGATCGAGATTAACAGGATGTGGAGGTATGAAGATTGAGACTGTACCAGTAGGAATCGGAGCTCCGGGCCTCGTGAGAAAAAGGAATGGACAATTTTGCTAACAGTGTCCCAGATACCATTAGCGTAAAAGTTGCCCAGAAGATCGTTCTACTAGGAACATCTCATGTACTAAGAAAAGTGCTATTAATTAAATGATAATTCTCCTATAGAGCGTAAGGACCATAGTTTAGAGCTGGCTCTACACGATACAAAACAGGAAACATAACATAAACAAATAATAATCATAATGGACAATTTTACTAACAGTGTCCAGGTAACATCAACATCCAAGTTGCCAAGATTCCATATAAGAAGAAAAGTGCTATCAATTAAATAAGAATTCTATAGCGCCTAAGGACCATAGTTTGGACCATAGTTTGGACCATAGTTTCGACCCGGCCCTACAGGATATAAAGCTGGAAACATACCATACACAAATAATAATAATAATAATAATAATAATGGACAATTTTATTAACAATCTTCCAGGTAACGTCAATATCTAAGTTGCCCAGAAAATCGCCATCCTAGAAAAGTGCTATCAGTTAAATGACAATTCTCCTATAGGGCCTAAGGACCATAGTTTAGACCCGGCTCTACAGGATACAAAGCAGGAAATATAACAGACACAAATGAAAATTATAATGAGGATGATAATAATAATGATGATTACGATATTAATAATAATAATAATAATAATAATAATAATAATAATTTTCGCCCAACATGCTTGTTTCCACTCAAAGAACAGGCCCCCCCGCCACCATCACAAGCGAGTGAACCTGTGTACCCCCCTTACTCCAAGCCAGTGCCAGACTTCTGAAATACCAAATAAGACTCTAGGTATTTAACGCCAGGCGGATGTTTTTGATTCTTGAAGATTTTACCTATTCATTTCTCGTTTTTATTTATTTTTCTTTTTGACTGGGGCGGGGGGGGGACGTTTCTTTTTGGTCTTAATATTCTGTTAAATTTTCCTTCATTTTTTTTTTCTTTTTTGGGGTATGTTTTATTTATTTTTATTTATTCCCCGTTTTTCAGATCCGCCTCTCTATTTTTCGCACTCGTCTGCTACTTATTTTATTCAACCACTCAGTACCTCCCCGCCCCCCTAAATACATCCGGGACTTTTGTTCGTCATCATTTATTTCTTTTCGTATTATTATTATTATTATTATTATTATTATTATTATTATTATTATTATTATTATTGTATTGGATGTTTAATCTTTTTTCTTGACAGAATTTTGGCATTTGCCTTCGGAATTCTTTCTTTCTTTGTCATTTGATCTCAAACCATATTTCTTTCTTTCTTTCTTTCTTTCTTTTCATTTAATCTTCAGCTATAATTATTTTTCGTTCTTTTTCTCTTTCTTTTTTCTTTACCATTTTGTCTCAGCCCATCTTTCTTCCTTTCTGTCTGTCTTTCTGTCTGTCTTTCTTTCTTTCTTTCTTTCTTTCTTTCTTTTCATTTAATCTTCAGCTATAATTATTTTTCGTTCTTTTTCTCTTTCTTTTTTCTTTACCATTTTGTCTCAGCCCATCTTTCTTCCTTTCTGTCTGTCTTTCTGTCTGTCTTTCTTTCTTTCTTTCTTTCTTTCTTTTCATTTAATCTTCAGCTATAATTATTTTTCGTTCTTTTTCTCTTTCTTTTTTCTTTTACCATTTTGTCTCAGCCCATCTTTTCTTCCTTTTCTGTCTGTCTTTCTGTCTGTCTTTCTTTCTTTCTTTCTTTCTTTCTTTTCATTTAATCTTCAGCTATAATTATTTTTCGTTCTTTTTCTCTTTCTTTTTTCTTTACCATTTTGTCTCAGCCCATCTTTCTTCCTTTCTGTCTGTCTTTCTTTCTTTCTTTCTTTCTTTCTTTCTTTCTTTCTTCCCTTTCGTTAAATCTAACGGAATTTAACATTTTGTCTTCGTCCATAATTCTTTCTTTCTTTTTTTTTTCTCATTTAACCATCGATCATATTTCTTCCTTTGTTCCTTTACAGTTTGAGTTTTACACGATAATAATTTCTTTCTCTTTCTCTTCCCTTTCTTTCTTTCTTTCTTTCTTTCTTTCTTTCTTTCTTTCTTTCTTTCCCTTCGTTAAATCTTGTAGCCTAAGGTGACGTTTCTTTCTTTATCTTTATTTATTTATCATGTCTATATTTCTTTCTTTCTTTTTATTTATTCTTCAGCTTTCTTTCTTTCTTTCTTTCTTTCTTTTTCTCTTTCTTTTTTATTTGCCATTTGGTCTCAGTCCATCTTTCTTTCTTCCCTTTCGCTGAATCTTCTAACGGAATTTGACGTTGCCTTTTCATTTTGTCTTCGTCCATAATTCTTTCTTTCTTTCTTTCTCATTTTACCATCGATCATATTTCTTTCTTTTTTCTTTACAATTTGATAGTTTTACACTATAACAATTTCTTTCTCTTTCTCTTCCCTTCTTTTTTCTTTACCATTTGATCTCATCCCTTCTTTCTCTCTTTCTTTCTTTCTTTCTTTCTTTCCATTTAATCTTCAACTATAATTCTTTCTTTCTTTCTTTCTTTATCTCTTTCTTTGCCATTTGGTCTCAGTCCATCTTTCTTTCTTTCTTCCCTTTCGTTGAATCTTCTAACGGAATTTGACGTTGCCTTTTCCTTTTGTCTTCGTCCATAATTCATCCATCTCTTTCTTTCTTTCTTTCTTTCTTTCTTTCTTTCTTTCCTTCTTTCTTTCTTTCTTTCTTTCATTCTTTCTTTCATGCTGTAACGAAATTTGACCTTTCACTTCGTGATCTGTTAAAAGGTTCTAAATGTTTTCAAGAAGTGTAAGCACATCACGTGACCTTTTTACTTCCTTCTTTCTTTCTTTCGTTCTCCGCCCAACCCCTCCCCGCTTTTCTGGCACTAAGACGTTTGTCATTTCTTTTATCAACATTGCGTTTTTTTTTCTTTTTTAGGAGGTGGAGTTTTTAGTATGAGGATGTCATAAACAGCTTAACACGTAAATTAAATCGTGCCAGACGGAACTGGTCTTATCTCACGGGCTCGAAATTAGTGGCTAGGGCAGTAAACCGTTGGTTGTCGATTCTTTTTATCTGAGGTTCCATTCCATTTCGATTATTTTTTTTTTCTTTTAATGCTAAACATTTTGACACTCATTTGTGAAGGAAAAAGGAATGTCGGTGGGTAGCTGAGAAGAGTTTGTTAATAAAAATTTTAATTTCGTTTAGTTTCGTTATTTGCGATGAAAAACAGCATAGCATGATGAAAGAGGCCCCAAACTTAATAAAAACAAAAATTTATCATTTTATTGGTATGTTTTTTTTTTTTAACTTTCCAACCTGAGAGGATGTGGTATTATGGTGTATGGAGGATTGATTGACGATGGATGAGTTTTTATGGTGAATGAGGAAATTGTAACGAGTGAATGGGTCGTGAATGCGATTAGTTAGGTATAAGATAGTGAAGACCAGCCTCAGTCCATCCCGGCTTTTTCGGCCTTGTGCCATAATTGTATTTTTATATACAATAAATATCATTTACAACAAATCTGAACTTAATAAAAACAAAGTTTTATCGTCAAAATGTTTATGGAAAGAACAAAGTATTTTGAATTATTTTTTAAAAACTTTTACTATTTCCTAACGGGTTCAAAATTTTGGTTAAAAATCTTGTTTTATTTTTTTACGTCACGTTTGACGTCATCTTTACAATTAGTCTTGCGCTTTTTTCCGGTGAAAAAACAAAAAACAAACAAAACAAAAAAAAAGCACTGATTTTGAAATTCTTGCAAAAATCATATAATTGTTGGATTTTCATGAAACATTCAGGACTTATTTATAAATGAATGGAATTATTTTTGAAAGTTTAGAAAATCTTTGTAAATCTTTTAATTTCTATTTCACTATTTATTTATTTATATTTACTACAACGTTTTGGCCGTTGTACAATCCGGCCTTCTTCAGGTGATTGGAATGTCGAACTGAACCCTTTATTTCGCTCACTGTTCTAGTTCTACGTGCCATGTTTAATCTTGGTAAATCTTTTCATTTCTATTTCACTAAATATTTTTGTTTTCTGTATTTATTTTTGTGAGAGTCATACTTCAATTGAGTAATTAAAAAAATGTTTTTATATAGAAACAACGTAAAAAAAAGAAAGTTTTTTTTGATAGTAGTTATTTTACTTATTTTCGAGGTTATTCGTTTTATAGTATTTTAAAATTTATTAGTTTTTTTTAGAAGGCATCTTCAAACTATATTTCTGAGATGAGGTATTATGTACACTATTTACATTATTTGGTCTATTGTCCTCATCTTTGTCGCTATATTTACCGATACTTCAGTATTTGTCTATATTTCTGAGATGAGATATTATGTACACTATTTACATTATTCGGACTATTGTCCTCATCTTTGTTGCCATATTTCTCCGATCCTTCAGTATCTGTCTATATTTCTGAGATGAGGTATTATGTACACTATTTACATTATTCGGACTATTGTCCTCATCTTTGTTGCCATATTGATCCGATCCTTCAGTATCTGTCTATATTTCTGAGATGAGGTATTATGTACACTATTTACATTATTCGGACTATTGTCCTCATCTTTGTTGCCATATTTCTCCGATCCTTCAGTATCTGTCTATATTTCTGAGATGAGGTATTATGTACACTATTTACATTATTCGGACTATTGTCCTCATCTTTGTTGCCATATTGATCCGATCCTTCAGTATCTGTCTATATTTCTGAGATGAGGTATTATGTACACTATTTACATTATTCGGACTATTGTCCTCATCTTTGTTGCCATATTTCTCCGATCCTTCAGTATCTGTCTATATTTCTGAGATGAGGTATTATGTACACTATTTACATTATTCGGACTATTGTCCTCATCTTTGTTGCCATATTGATCCGATCCTTCAGTATCTGTCTATTTTCTGAGATGAGGTATTATGTTTTCTTACATTATTTACATTATTTGTCTTTTGTCCTCATCTTTGTCGCTATATTTTACCGATACTTCTTCATATTTGTCTATATTTCTGAGATGAGATATCTATGTACACTATTTACATTATTCGGACTATTGTCCTCATCTTTGTTGCCATATTTCTCCGATCCTTCAGTATCTGTCTATATTTCTGAGATGAGGTATTATGTACACTATTTACATTATTCGGACTATTGTCCTCATCTTTGTTGCCATATTGATCCGATCCTTCAGTATCTGTCTATATTTCTGAGATGAGGTATTATGTACACTATTTACATTATTCGGACTATTGTCCTCATCTTTGTTGCCATATTTCTCCGATCCTTCAGTATCTGTCTATATTTCTGAGATGAGGTATTATGTACACTATTTACATTATTCGGACTATTGTCCTCATCTTTGTTGCCATATTGATCCGATCCTTCAGTATCTGTCTATATTTCTGAGATGAGGTATTATGTACACTATTTACATTATTCGGACTATTGTCCTCATCTTTGTTGCCATATTTCTCCGATCCTTCAGTATCTGTCTATATTTCTGAGATGAGGTATTATGTACACTATTTACATTATTCGGACTATTGTCCTCATCTTTGTTGCCATATTTCTCCGATCCTTCAGTATCTGTCTATATTTCTGAGATGAGGTATTATGTGCACTATTTACATTATTCGGACTATTGTCCTCATCTTTGTTGCCATATTTTCTCCGATCCTTCAGTATCTGTCTATATTTCTGAGATGAGGTATTATGTACACTATTTACATTATTCGGACTATTGTCCTCATCTTTGTTGCCATATTGATCCGGATCCTTCAGTATCTGTCTATATTTCTGAGATGAGGTTTATGTACACTATTTATTATTTATTGTCCTCCTCATCTTTGTTGCCATATTTCTCGTCTATATTTCTGAGATGAGGTATTATGTACACTATTTACATTATTCGGACTATTGTCCTCATCTTTGTTGCCATATTTCTCCGATCCTTCAGTATCTGTCTATATTTCTGAGATGAGGTATTATGTACACTATTTACATTATTCGGACTATTGTCCTCATCTTTGTTGCCATATTTCTCCGATCCTTCAGTATCTGTCTATATTTCTGAGATGAGGTATTATGTACACTATTTACATTATTCGGACTATTGTCCTCATCTTTGTTGCCATATTTCTCCGATCCTTCAGTATCTGTCTATATTTCTGAGATGAGGTATTATGTACACTATTTATTATTCGGACTATTGTCCTCATCTTTGTTGCCATATTTTCTCCGATCCTTCAGTATCTGTCTATATTTCTGAGATGAGGTTATTATGTACACTATTTACATTATTCGGACTATTGTCCTCATCTTTGTTGCCATATTTCTCCGATCCTTCAGTATCTGTCTATATTTCTGAGATGAGGTATTATGTACACTATTTACATTATTCGGACTATTGTCCTCATCTTTGTTGCCATATTTCTCCGATCCTTCAGTATCTGTCTATATTTCTGAGATGAGGTATTATGTACACTATTTACATTATTCGGACTATTGTCCTCATCTTTGTTGCCATATTTCTCCGATCCTTCAGTATCTGTCTATATTTCTGAGATGAGGTATTATGTACACTATTTACATTATTCGGACTATAGTCCTCATCTTTGTTGCCATATTTATCCGATCCTTCAGTATCTGTCTATATTTCTGAGATGAGGTATTATGTACACGATTTACATTATTCGGACTATTGTCCTCATCTTTGTTGCCATATTTCTCCGATCCTTCAGTATCTGTCTATATTTCTGAGATGAGGTATTATGTACACTATTTTTACATTATTCGACTATTGTCCTCATCTTTGTTGCCATATTTCTCCGATCCTTCAGTATCTGTCTATATTTCTGAGATGAGGTATTATGTACACTATTTACATTATTCGGACTATTGTCCTCATCTTTGTTGCCATATTTCTCCGATCCTTCAGTATCTGTCTATATTTCTGAGATGAGGTATTATGTACACTATTTACATTATTCGGACTATTGTCCTCATCTTTGTTGCCATATTTCTCCGATCCTTCAGTATCTGTCTATATTTCTGAGATGAGGTATTATGTACACTATTTACATTATTCGGACTATTGTCCTCATCTTTGTTGCCATATTTCTCCGATCCTTCAGTATCTGTCTATATTTCTGAGATGAGGTTATTATGTACACTATTTACATTATTCGGACTATTGTCCTCATCTTTGTTGCCATATATTTCTCCATCCTTTACAGTATCTGTCTATATTTCTGAGATG